ACCCATCACCCAACTTAAGAACTAAAACATGACCAGTAGCTTTATATCTTCATGCTCTGTCTCTGTATCACTTCCTGCCATTCTCCCAGAGATAGTCACTATCCTGAGTTTTGTTTTTAGTGCTATCATTTAAATATAAACTTTTATCACATGTGTGCATTCCTAAACATGTTGTTTCGTTTCTCTTTATAAAAATTATATTTCAGCTTTATAAAAATTATATATTCTCTGTATTCCTCTGCAACTAGTTTTCTTTATTCAACATTTCTAAGATTCAGCCATAATGTTACATATATCCATGGTTCATTTGCTATTACTGATAGCAAATATTCCATTGCATAAATCACCATAATTTTTTATCCCTTCTCCTGAAGTGAACATTTGGATTGCTTTAATATTTTTGCTATTACAAGCAATGTTGCTGGTACACACTTGCAAGAATTTCCCTAGGATATATATATACCTAAAAGTAAAATTGCTGGGTATACACATTTTCAACTTTATAAAGTAGTTCTGAATTTTTAAAAAGTGATTGAACAAATTGACATTCCCTCTACCAGTGCATAATATCATTTTGACTTGTATTATCACCAACCCTTAGTATTATCAAACTTCCTAATATTTACCAATCTAGTGATTATAAAATATTATTTCCTTGGGGTCTTAATGTGTAAATTGCAAATTTCACATTTTCTTTGTCCCTTGAGTTCACTCCTACAATATGCTTATCGTTACCTTTGACCATTTTCCAGTTGGATTTTTATTGAGTTGTAGGAGTTCTTTATATATAATCTAGGTGCTAATCATTTTTCAGTGGTAGGTGATATATCTTGAATATGTCCTTTTTCACATAAGCTTGTCTCATTCAGTTCTCAGTGCTCTGTGGGTCCTGTACACTTGCCCAGAGGTACTGATGTTTTCTGCCTTCAGTAGCAGTGCTTCATGTTTGTGTGAGATAAACAGTTTACAAAGCACTCTCTCAAATCTTATCTCATTTGAGTCTCCCAACAACTTTTAAAAAACAAGCTGGGTATTATGATACTAGTTTTACAGGTAAGGAGAATGAGTGGCTTGCCCAAGGTCATAGGGCTAATAAGTCATCGTATATACTCTGTATTCCATATCTTTCCTCTGATCATATGATGCTTCAGCTCTTTCTGGATTACGGTCTATTCCTTTAAGCAAATGCTGCAGCTCTGCTTAGCATCTATATTTCAGTTCCTTCTTTCTTTGTATATAATTCAAAATACAGTTCTAGTCTATGAAGTTCATTTTAAACTCCTTACCTACAAATTAACAGATGAGTAAAGGAAGCACCAAGAGAATTTTTTAATTCATATATATATATGTGTATATATATAAATTTAAAAGAGTCTAGGAGGATATTAGAAATCATAACAGTTACCTGTTCTGGGGCAAATCACATTTTTAAAAATAATGGGGTCTCTTATGTAGGAAAGCTGATTTCAAGTTCAGTATTTCCTTTTCTTTTAGAGAGTTAAAAAGAGGAATACAGAAAATAAAGAAAAGAAAAATATAGTTTAACATTAATTAGTATTATCTAAATTGGCTGTCCTGCCTATGTCAAACACTGATTTCTATTTAGTTAATTATTAAATATTATCTATTTGTTATATTAGATATAAAAAATACTTATGAACAGCATTAAATGTTGAACTTACAATGGGAAGTAATATTGATAGGACAATAATTTCATCACTCAACCTCCAGCTGAAGTTCCTACGCCTGAGCAGTTGAATGGGCATCCACCAACTGTGGGAGCCCAAGGAGGGTGGGATGTTGTCTCTCAAATGAGAGATGCCCAAATGTTATCTCATGAAAATTTGAGATGGTCAAAGATAGCAATGTACTTCTTACTTTCTGGTATTGTTTCATTCATTCATTCTCAAGCTTATCACTGCAGATTTCACTGCATGTGAAATCTGTAACCTTTTGGTAGTCTCCTTGGATCATTCTATTTTTATGTACATTTCACACACCAAAGAAAACTGTGTTTGATGAAACTAGCAGTAGCAAGAAAGGATCAAGAGATTAAATAAGAAAACAGCATTCCTAATCTGAGGTATTTTAATCCCCATATAATAGTTATATCTTAAGCACTTCCTGCGTACATCCCTTGATGATAATAAAGAGATTAGGACCACATCATATCTTCTCCAAAGAGAAAGATCTTTAATAACAACTGTCTATTCTACAGATAATTACTAAATATGATCTTTCCTGAATCTCTTTCTTTGAGCATTGTAAATAAATGATCTCCAGTTATATACTTAGTATTTACTCACCAAATATTCCTACATCAGTGTCCAATTTAAAATTGGTTGTTTTGCCCCTGTTTCCATGAAATGATGGTTTCATTAAGTATTTTGCACTCAACCTGAGGGCTGTGTGTTATAAGAGAAATAATATATATCTGATGATGAGCTTCCTGTGTGTACTTCTTTAATGAGTCAGGTGCTATACTAGTCTCACGCAGCTCCCTTTGAATAGGGGATAATTATACTACAAAGCAGTAAGCCTGAGAGGTGTGTGCCGGGGAAGGGTACCTAATGATGCTGGAATTCACATCTGCGTTTGGAGACAATGAGGTGAGCCCTGTGTTGGTGATTTTGAGTTTTACGTATTTTATAGCTATGTGTAAGGATATGGGTCATTTCTAATGACCCATGCATTTCTAATGTAAGGAGAGGGTCATTCCTAGCTGGGCAATTTCTAGCATCACCTAGTCCAAAGGGCCTCAAAAAGGCAAATTACTCACTTGAGAAGAAAGTCATTCATATTTTTAGAAGTATATCTTCAAACCAACTGCTTTTTAAAGGGTCTTATGGACATTGTGGTTATTTAATTTAATATCCACTTTGGGACAAGTGGATATTAAATCCGTAGGACATTGAGATTGTTGGGACCTTGAAACAACATATGCAAGGAGGGACTATTTCAGGCAAATAAAAAAACTGTGGTCGCCCTACTTATGGAAGGAAAAGTGTCCACAGCCTTCTATGAGGTGAGGGTGGGAGGGCTGACTTGGTAGATTCTTCACTCAGGATAGAAAACGCCAACCCCAAGAGGCTTCCCCTTGCCTTTTCAAAAAGAAGTCAAGAGAGGCCAGAGACAATGAATTTTAAGGACCTAGCAAGGGCCTGAAATCTTTGGCACTGCAGTTTTTTTCAAAAGGTTCCATACTTTCCCATTATGATTAATAACAAAACTCTTTAATTAAAAAGTCTTTGTGTTGGTGTTTAGGGACAGCAAGAAGTGAGGCTCTGGGAAGATCCCCCATTTTGCCGTCACCTTGGATGTTGGTGGGGAAAGGTCATCTGAAAGAGAGAACATGTTTCTGGGGTGAGGGGAACCTGGAGTTATAAAGGCACATCAGGCAGAACAGTCCCTGTGAAGTGCCCGACCTGGTGTTTCACCGGCCTGATCAGGAAGGGACCCTGTGCGACACGGTGAGCGCCAAGAGCAGCGGCCCTCGGTCCTTTGGGAGCGAGACCACGGCTTGCTGGTGACCCCGAGTGTCCCCGAGCCGTGTGCAGGAGCTCGGCGAGCGCAGGGCTGAGCCCGCAGCCCGAGCGCTTTGGGGACCGCGCGCCGGCTGCAGGCAAAGGGCTTGGTGACCCCGAGCGTCCCCGAGCCGCGTGCAGGAGCTCGGCGAGCGCAGGGCTGAGCCCGCCGCCCCGAGAGTCTGGGGACCGTGCGCGGGCTGCAGGCAAAGGGCTTGGTGACCCCGAGCGTCCCCGAGCCGCGTGCAGGAGCTTGGTGAGCGCAGTGCCGAGCCCGCCGCCCCGAGAGTCTGGGGACCGTGCTCGGGCTGCAGGCAAAGGGCTTGGTGACCCCGAGCGTCCCCGAGCCGCGTGCAGGAGCTTGGTGAGCGCAGTGCCGAGCCCGCCGCCCCGAGAGTCTGGGGACCGTGC